TATTCTTATGTTACAGAGATTAAGGGATGAAAGAGGGTTAATTGATGGGGAATTTAATTCTCCGTCGAACCCTCTGTGTTTCATTCCTTATCATTAATTAGCCAGCAGAGTCTGCTTGTGACGCGGCACTCTATAGCCTCCAGCTACCTCTTAATTTGATTTTTTTCATTAGTTTCTCTACTTGAGTTTATTATCAATTTTTATTGTGGGGAAAACTAGTCCTAACTCATCTGTTACGTCGACCTTTCCCAATAACTTTTGTGTCGTGGCTCTCGCGTCGTCGTCGCTTGCGGGTGATCCTCGCGTCTTAGCGTCTCCTACGCACCTTTAAAGTTATTATTATTTATTTTTGTTAACTACCCGGGTAGAAAAAAAACCGTCTTCTGAAGATTTTTCGGAAGATCTTTGGGAGAAATCTTCCGAAAGTTTTTGGAAGATCTTTTTGGTGACATGAAAAGATCTTCCAAAGATGGAAATTCATCTACGAAAGATATTTTTATTTTTTCATTTTAGATCTTCGGAAGACGGAATTTAGTCTTTAGAAAATCTTTCGAAGACAATCCACAAGAATCTTTGCGAGACAAAATTTCGTCTTCCAAATATCTTCCACAGGCAACTTAGGAGAATTAATATTTAATATTTAATATTTTTATTTTTTCATTTTAGATCTTCGGAAGACGGAACTTAGTCTTTAGAAAATCTTTCGAAGACAATCCACAAGAATCTTTTGGTGACAAAATTTTGTCTTTCAAATATCTTCCACGGGAATTCTAGGAGAATTTTTTGAAGAAGACAATTTTCATCCGAAATGTCTGTCCACATATAAAAATAGTGTATTGACTTTGAAATGGAGGTTCTAAATTCTAGAAATTCCTCTTCTCAACATTTATCCTTGGTGGGGTAATGGACCTAACGAATGTAGGGATTGTTTTTAAGAACAAATATTTTCTACAACCAGTGCTGATTTTTTCTTGATATGCAAAATTTTCAGTTTAAGTAAGTAATCTTTATTCTATGTAGAACTTAAAAGTCAACCCTTCCAAAAGTGAGACTATTTTATTTCGAAACACCCAAGAGACCATGTCAAAAAAAAAACGTAAAAGTATTAAGAAATTTCAAGTAAAAATAAAAGATCCTATCTCAAACGAAGAATCAATAATCCCTAACAAAGACACTATCAAGTATCTAGGAGTCAATCTAGACTATCTAGTTCGCTGCTCAAAACACATGGACATCCGATTAGAAAAAGCCCGAAACAGATATAAATCTTTAGGCTACTTATTTCACAACAAATATATCAGTAAGAGAGCTAGGGTAATCTGTTACATGTTGCTCATAGGACCATTATTAACCTATGGATCAGAAATATTGTGGAACATGAGTGCTAATCAAATGGAAACCTTGAGATTATTTGAGAGGAAATGTCTCAGAACTTCTTTGTTTTTGGATCGATCTGAACATACAAATTATCAATATAGAGTGAGTAATAAAATCCTCTATGAAAAAGCGCAGATCCCAAGAATTGACTATTTCATTCATAGACTTGCAAGAAATTATTACAACAGAATCAAAGAAATTCCAAATGAGGTAATTAATAGTTTGGCTGAATTCCCGGTGGACGGGGCTGTCGGTCGATCTAGATGCGGTAATATCAAACCACAATATTTTACTTATTATGATAAGATCAGTTTATTCCAAGATGAATCGAATAAACCGATCTTGTATCACATCAACAGACATAAAAACAACAACAAAATCCCCATAGATGATTTTGAATCAAAAGAATTCTTGTATTCGAGAGATGTCCCAAGATGCGATGTCGACGACTTCACGAGAGTCAGAAAAAAATTCTGGTGGCTGAATGATGACGATAAATTTATGAGACAATTGAAAATTCGAGAAGAATTATTCAAACAGATGAATAAAAATAATCAACAAAATCGATATCATAGGCACAACTTTAGACCTCCTTAGAATTTTGAATTCTAATATAAAATATTAAAAAATTCTATTTCGACAAAAAACCCAAATAATATGATTGTTTTACTAAACAAAATTAAAAACTAAATATACAAATAATGTCAGAACATAAGTATTAAAATAAAGATAAAAAAAAATCGGATTCTGTGATTCATAAATACTTTTAATGATTCACTCTAGGTAATTTAAATAAAATTACAATATTTCTTTAATCTACTTTTCGCAACTATTGTCGTGCTTTTTTTTCTACAACAGCAAACAAATGTTCCTTTTTTAACCACTTAAATTTAAAAAATATCAAATGCAAAAGACAACGCATAAATCTCAAAGAGAAAGATTCTGCATTTACCTTACGATTAATCTCAAAATAATTATAAACTCGAGAGTCTCGCCAGTTTACACAATTAGTAAAAAAAATACTGATCATACAGGGTGCCCCATAGTATGTGACAAAAGTAAATTGCGAATAACTTGAATACGGTTAAGTGTAAATAATTGTTGTTTTTTTATTGTACACAGAACATTCGGCAAATTATAATACAATCCCTTCCAAGTGTCCGCCATCACTTGTACTACAGAACTCTATCCTACGCTCGAAGCTGGTATAGATGCGCTGTATTATGTTTTCATCAATAGCTCGGACAGCATCTCTAATTGCGTCTTGCAACTCTTCCACAGTCGTCGGATGCTTTTCATAGCACTTGTCCTTGAGAAAACCCCACAGGCAAAAATCACAGGGATTTAAGTCAGGACTGTAAGGCGGCCATTCCATGCCCCCATGGGCATACTTAGGGTAACCTCAACCTAACACACGAGTGCCGTAAACGGAAAAAAGTATTTCAAACACTCCAGTAGTCCTGTGTGGGGCGGCACCGTCTTGCATGAAGTAGAAATTCTTGACTAATTGATTTTTTCGTGCCCAAGGAAAGAAGTTCTTTTTCAAGAACTCCCAGTAAATGTCAGCATTAATTGTCCGACTCTCGAGGAATTCAAGGAAAACACCCTTTATGGTAACTGCCGCCCATGCAGTAACTTTTTTCGGGTGTGAGGACTTGGTTTCAACGACGTGAGGTGACTCAGTNCAACCTAACACACGAGTGCCGTAAACGGAAAAAAGTATTTCAAACACTCCAGTAGTCCTGTGTGGGGCGGCACCGTCTTGCATGAAGTAGAAATTCTTGACTAATTGATTTTTTCGTGCCCAAGGAAAGAAGTTCTTTTTCAAGAACTCACAGTAAATGTCAGCATTAATTGTCCGACTCTCGAGGAATTCAAGGAAAACACCCTTTATGGTAACTGCCGCCCATGCAGTAACTTTTTTCGGGTGTGAGGACTTGGTTTCAACGACGTGAGGTGACTCAGTCCCCCAAAAGCGAAAATTTTGTTTATTTACCAAGCCACCTAAGTAGAAATGTGCTTCGTCAGAGAAGATGATATTCTGTGCCTTCATCCCCTTGGATTCAAAAAGATTGTAAAGTTCTTGGCAAAATTCCACACGACGAACCATCGCTTCTTCAGTTAAAAATTGATGTACAGAAATTTTGTAGGGATGGAAGTTTAAAAACACTTTTAAGATACGGTGAAGTGAAGTTCTCGAGACTTTGAAGGTTTGGGAAGCCTTCCGAAGAGTATCATTTGGATATTTTTTGAAATGTTCTTCAGTTGTGCGGATAACCTCATCTGTGGTTACAGTAGGTGAAGGGCCAGGATTCTCATGCCTCCTATCGTCTAGTGTACCGTATTGATTAAATTTCTCAATTAACCTGAAAATACCCATGAATTGGTCGAAAAATGCGTAAATCTTCAAAAAAAAAAAAGAAAAAAAAGTTTTGGTTATCTAGTTCATTCACTCTATTTACCGTCTGCGACTCGAATCAGACACTTCAGTGTGTGTGCCATACTTAGAATGAAATGCTCTTATTGCTGCAGTAGTTGAATCTCCTCTTCGGTAATATGATTGAATGAGGAATGATTTTTGTTCAATGGTTAGGTTTTCCATTTTAGTGTTCTAATTCGCGAGCGACTGAAGTATGGATGAAATTTGCGGAGTCTCCACTTCAACCATATATTAGACTTTAGACTGCGCTGTCACCTTGCGGTATACAACGCAATTTACTTTTGTCACATACTATGGGACAACCCTGTAGAACTCTTTTTTCTATACTAGTTTTTAAGGTTTTTACATAATGTAAATATTGACTATTATATTGAATAAAGAAACTTGGTTAAAAAATAAAAGTAAGAGTGCCCGGCGCTAAAACAGAATTGCAGATTCACAAAAAAAATAAAGTGACGACATTGTAATAAGCAACCAATTGCGTTGATGATATGAACTGAAGTGAAATAAACTCATTTAAAAAATCTATAACAGTGTTGGCACGTACTTTTATCCGAGTATCAACAAGCATTAAATTCCAACAATTGATTCTCTAAATAATGCTTGAGAAGAAGTTGAATTCTAATCATGATTAAAATCTCATTCAGTGAGCATAGGAATTAACACATATACGCAAGTAATTCATACAAACATTTAATAGCTAATAAATTGGGACATATTATTTTCATCAGTCACATTGCTTTTTGCAATTTTTTTTTTATTTAGAGCATTTGAACGTCATGGGTCATTTCGCTATATGAAAAAAAAAGAAATAAATTGCAAAAAACATGCGAATTATTACAGACAATTATGGATACATCTTCAATGTCGATGCTATACATTAGTTTTCATCATTTTCACATATATACAGGTACTTACTAAATATTCAATTTCAAACAGATCAGGAAGGAGTCCATAAGTAGCAAGACTGCTTTTTGCAATGGAAATAATTATGAACAATCAATTGAAAAAATAAATATTGAATGTAAAATTTCTTGGATTTTCTCAACAATTTCCCAAAAATTTCGAAGTTTAAAAAAAATGCACAAGCATTTCGGGATTTTAAGGAGAATTTGAAAAAATTGCATCGTCGAATAAAATTGTGAAAAAGATCATGCATGAGGAGAAGATACTCCGAATTAGCAAAAAAAGCATCAGAATCAATCATGTAATTTTTCCAACAAAATTATCGATTGCTTTTGTGAAGCATTGTTTCCATTAATCTTCACGCTCAGTATAATAAGACAATAATGAATCATTAATTTGTGAAAAACTCACAAGGAAAAACACGAGGGATTATAAAAGGGCATCAACTAGTTTTTTAATAAAAGAAAACAATTTGGGAATTTCATATCCAATAGAAATTTAGTTGAATTTCTCAAAGAGAGCACTATGGTTTTTCTTGAAAATACAAATAGCTTTACATAGAATCTATATCTCCTATAGAATGTCCTATAGAACATATAGGAGTGCGAATGCGGCACAGTGCATGCATAGGGTTGGATAGAATGCCGAAATGAGACCGGAAAATGGGGACTCAAAAGGCCGTTTAAATAACAAGTTTTCGCATATATTCTAATATTTTACAATAGAAACTGACATCATGTCTCAATTTGCATTAAGTATTGGTGCTAATTAATTTTCATGTCTTTAATCATATGGACAGGATACATTTACTCCCAATGGAATTGCCATCAGCCGCGGTCATAAATTCAACACATAATGCGCGAGGGAAAATGTCCTTTATACGTCGTTTGGGCCTCGGGTGTATCATCCTAGCTTTTTTGGGTCTTCTATACGTACCAGCATATCATTCAGCGCAAGGACCACTCGGAATAGGTGAGGCAACATCTTCAGGACCTTCGAGGCTTTCACGCTATCTAGAACCCGTAGGTATGCATTCGAAAAGTACTGAACAGCGCCGTAGCTTAAGCATTTTCTGTTGAATTCGGTGAAGTAATTTTCTGAAATCTACTGGTTGAAATTTATTTCATTTGTGCTCATCTAGACATATAATTATCTCATCTATCAAATAACAGCGAAAACTATTAAACGTTGAAACATACTTTACGTGATTTTGTGTTTCATAAAGGTGAAGTACAGAATAATGCATTAATTTCGTTAAGTTCCCCTCAGTTCTGCTAAATCGTGTGATAAAGTACAATACGGGTTGAAAATAATAGTCTCTGAATAATTAATAAGCTTTTTCGAAATTTCAAGAGGAAACAAGTTCTTACAATTTATTGGTTGGTGATAATAGAATATTTATAATCTAAGAATACCTGCTATGTTTCTTTGTAATTGTTCTTCATTTTTTAATAGATGTTTCCTTGATTGATTGATGTTCAACTTCATATTGTACTTTACCCTGGAGTTAAAATTCCAAAGCATGATCTCTGTTTTGTACTCCTCCTTGAACTCTTATTTTTTTCTCTGTAATAAATGATTTTTTACAAATAATTATTTTTATAGTGTAATTTATTTAGTTAATAGATTCTGGCGGCACAGTCGAATGGCATGTTCAGTCTTTCAGACCATTACTTGTCAGTTTGACGATAATATTCAACTGCTTTAAATTGTTTTTGTTGATCTATTATAGAGGAATTACATGGATGGTCGTTCAATGCATCAAGAAATTTAGACTGGTATATCCATCCACAAAACAACACAACAATACTGAATCCAAATGACAGTTGCACGGTATCAACATCGCCATACCTTTTAATCGTCGTTTGCTCAGCGGTTGATCATCAAAAACAAAGAATGGCCATTAGAGATACTTGGGCCAGTGAGACAGATTCTTACAATTCGACTACTATTAAAGTTGTATTCCTCCTCGGACAAAGTGACAATGAGACGCTCAACGTAAGTGATGATTTAATTTTTTTTTGCTTTGCATAAACTTCTAAATAACAGATGCGCTTATAAGTTGGCTCATAATGTAAGGTGTCGAAATGCGTATATGGGACATTCCATGTCACCTCAGCCACCCTGAATTTTTTTGGTTCCTAGAATCCTGGATTGGTATGCACACTATCAAGTACTACAGGGTGTCCCATAGTATGTGACAAAACTAAATTGCGTTGTATACCGCAAGGTGACAGCGCAGTCTAAAGTCTAATATATGGTTGAAGTGGAGACTCCGCAAATTTCATCCATACTTCAGTCGCTCGCGAATTAGAACACTAAAATGGAAAACCTAACCATTGAACAAAAAACATTCCTCATCTAATCATATTACCGAAGAGGAGATTCAACTACTGCAGCAATAAGAGCATTTCATTCTAAATATGGCACACACACTGGAGCGTCTGAATCGAGTCTCAGACGGTAAATAGAGTGAATGAACTAGATAACCAAAATTTTTTCAACTAGAACAGGGCGCGCGCTTCGCGCGCATATATTTTTCATGGGTGCCAGAATAGTAAACGGTAAAACCTTACCGTTTCTCACTTTCATTAATTTTTATCTCGATAATAATAATGCAGAAAAAATGAATGGTTTCAACAAAGTTTTTCAGAATGAGAATTTAATTGTTGAATAATTTATTCGGAATCATTAGAATCCTCTTCATCTTCTTCTTCGTTTCTCTTTTGCTTCTTACGTTCTTATTAATATTTAGGGCTGTATTATGTGCTGTATACATATATACTATCCTATACATCTATTTTTTTACAGAGCTATCAATTTTTTACAGTTAAAAAAATGACAGGATAAATCATATATGTATAATCTATCTGCTGTATATTATATTATATATTATATATTGTATCATATATAATATATAACATAATATATATTATATTTTATACATCATATTATATTATATATATACTATACATGTATGCATTTTTTTATAGTACAGAACAGTATTTAATTTTTTCAATTGTTAAATATATTACAGTACATAAAAAAATATACATAGACATAATATTACATTACTTGATAAGCGGAATAGAGGCTTCAGAAATCGTTACACTGGATTTTTTAAAAGTGGATACGGTACACTAGACGATAGGAGGCATGAGAATCCCGGCCCTTCACCTACTTTAACCACAGATGAGGTTATCCGCACAACTGAAGAACATTTCAAGAAATATCCAAATGATACCCCTCGGAAGGCTTCCCAAACCTTCAAAGTCTCGAGAACTTCACTTCACCGTATCTTAAAAGTGTTTTTAAACTTCCATCCCTACTAAATTTCTGTACATCAATTTTTAACTGAAGAAGCGATGGTTCGTCGTGTGGAATTTTGCCAAGAACTTTACAATCTTTTTGAATCCAAGGGGATGATGGCATAGAATATCATCTTCTCTGACGAAGCACATTTCTACTTAGGTGGCTTGGTAAATAAACAAAATTTTCGCTTTTGGGGGACTGAGTCACCTCACGTCCTTGAAACCAAGTCCTCACACCCGAAAAAAGTTACTGCATGGGCGGCAGTTACCATAAAGGGTGTTTTCCTTGAATTCCTCGAGAGTCGGACAATTAATGCTGACATTTACTGTGAGTTCTTGAAACAGAACTTCTTTCCTTGGGCACGAAAAAATCAATTAGTCAAGAATTTCTACTTCATGCAAGACGGTGCCGCCCCACACAGGACTACTGGAGAATTGAAACACTTTTTTCCGTTTACGGCACTCGTGTGTTAGGTTTAGGTTACCCTAAGTATGCCCATGGGGGCATGGAATGTGATTTTTGCCTGTGGGGTTTTCTCAAGGACAAGTGCTATGAAAAGCATCCGACGACTGTGGAAGAGTTGCAAGACGCAATTAGGGATGCTGTCCGAGCTATTGATGAAAACAATACAGCGCATCTATACCAGCTTCGAGGATAGAGTTCTGTAGTACAAGTGATGGCGGACACTTGGAAGGGATTGTATTATAATTTGCCGAATGTTCTGTGTACAATAAAAAAAACAACAATTATTTACACTTAACCGTATTCAAGTTATTCGTAATTTACTTTTGTCACATACTATGGGACACCCTGTACGTAAGTACAGACTTTCTCTGAATTTTCACTCCTTTAACATCAATAGTTTGTCTATGACATATGACAAAAGCTCAAATCTTTGAAAAATCATATCTTGCTGACTAATGGACAGATTTTGACGAATAAAAAAACATTTTTCTCCTTTTCCCATGTACTTTCCGAATAAAAATACGATAGTACTACGAGGACAAGTAATAGACCATTTTCCAATTTTTTATCATTTAAATTCCGCTGTAACGCAAGGGCCAGATGAAAAATGAATAATTTTTTTCCCTCGATGGATGCTGATAATACATAACTTTTTTGGGGTATTTCAAAATGAGACATCCCCATGGAGATAAGGGAAAATTTTTCTTTTCATGGAAAATTTGATTTTTCGATCATAAATTAGTACAATTACGTTTAGTAGTCGACTTTTTCACAATCACAAAGGTCCGACGATAATGAGGATTAATTGAAAGAGGTGGGTGAGATGACCATCATACGGGTCGAATGAAATATTTTGAAAGTCTCTCCCTTCGTATTTTACGAGGCTCAAACTTCACTATGGTCATACTTTTCGAGGGTCGAGCGTCGCAAGAATCCTATCTCGCAAGAGTCATGCCTCATGAGGGTCAAGCATCGCCAGGGTCACACTTCGCGAGAGTCAAACGTCACAATGATCATAACCGGAACGGTTCAAACGATCGCAACGGTTAAACAACAGAGGCCGGTAGCATAATCACGAGGTTCAAATGGCCATAAGAACAAACAACGAAGATAGGCAGAACAATCACAATGGTCAAAGGAGCATGAATCGAGCGAGATAATCACACTGAGAAAAAATATTAGGTGTGTGAATATGACTCCGCCCTTTCCCAACGGATGTCGTTTTTAGTATTGCTTACGTGCACTAATAAATGGCAACACTTGTATTCGATAGTACTTTATGTCAGCTGTCAAATGCACTACGTGACATTTGATTGAAATATAAGCAACAAGTGTTTTTACCTCCGTAACAATGTCGGTTTTCGTTCCAAGTAAACATCATTTGCGGGAAGTGTTATTACACTATTATATTGCAAAGAAGTGTTGCGGAAACTCATCGTTTGCTTGTGGAGACTTACGGTGAGCATGCTCCATCTAATACAACTTGCAAGGAATGGTTTCGATGATTTCAAAATAATGATTTTGGCACTACGGACAGAGAACATGGAAAACCACCAAAAAATTTGAAGATGCTGAATTGGAGACATTATTGGCAGCGGATTCTTGCCAAACTCAATCGGAATTGGCTGCAACATTAAATGTTGAACGATCAACTGTTGCAAAGCATTTAAAAGCAATGGGAATGGTTCAAAAAGTTGGCAACTGGATTCCATATGAGATCAAAGAAAGAGACATGGAACGTCGAAAAACAATTTGTGAAATGCTACTTCAAAGACAGCAAAGAAAAGGATTTTTGCCTCGAATAGTCACAGGAGATGAAAAATGGATATATTATGAGAATTCTAAACGCCAAAAAGCTTATGTGAAGCCAGGTGAACCCGGCCCATCCCAGCCAACAAGAAATATTCACAGTGCCAAGGTTATGCTCTGCATTTGGTGGGATCAGAGAGTTGTTGCATATTATGAGTTACTCGAATCCTCTCAAACTATTAATGGAGAAGTTTACCGATGACAAGTAATGCGTTTGAAGCGAGCCATAGAAGAAAAACGACCAGAATGGGTGAATAGGCACAGTAAATTAATTCTTCAACATGACAATGCCAAACCGCATACCGCCCAAGTTGTGAAAAGATATTTAGATGGACAGGACTGGGAAGTGCTACTCCACCCGCCATATTTGCCAGACATAGCTCTTTCGGATTACCACTTATTCCGAACACCGCAGTCAGATCTTACGGGAGAACGGTTTACTTCATACAAAAGTATCAAAATTTGACGTGATAATTGGATCAGCTCAAAAGACCAGGATTTCTTCAGGCAAGGAATACGTAAATTACCTGAAAGATTGGCGAAGGTTGTAGCTGCAGATGGAGCATACTTTCAATAAACTTTTCTTTGATTTTCTAAACAAGCAAATGTGTTTTATTTGAACAAAAAAGGGTGGAGTCATATTCACACACCCAATATAATTCTGCAAATCAAATTTGCCTCAAAACAAACAAATGCCCGAAATTTGCATACAAAATTTCACTATAAGATCTTGTCTGAAACAAATTTGATTGGCAGAATTCTATTTTTTTCTCAGTGCAGAAGGTTCTCCCGGTTGACCTTTGTGAGCGCTTGGCTGTTGTGATTGTCTTGCATCTTTACCCTTGCCATTCGAACCTAGTGATTAGGCTGCCTGACTCGTGTGGTTTACCCTCGTATTTGTTTAACCCTTGGCATTGTTCTCCCTGTCTTCGTTGTTTGAACCTTGTAGTCGTTTAACCCTTTGTTTTACCCTTGCCAGTTATTATCCTTGCGACATGTGACTCTAGCGAGGTATGACTCTCGCGACGTTTCACTCTCATTAGGCATGACTCTTGCGAGGCTTAATCCTTGCGATCCTCGACCCTCAAAGGGTACGACCATGGTGAAATTTGACCGTCGTGGGATACAACAGGAGAGGCTTTCAATTATTCCACTCGATTTATGATCATTCAATCCTTATATCGTCGAACCTTTGTGATTGTGAAAAAATGGAGGACCCCTATAAGTAATTTTTCTCATTGATGAGCGGAAAATCGGATTTTTCATGAAAAGAAAATTTTTTGTCCATCTCCATATAGATGTCCCATTTTAAAATACCCCGAAATAGTATATTACAGGTCAAGCACCGTAAAAAACTCGTTGACGAAATGAACTTTACCCGCGCGTGCCGAAGGCGAGTGACGGTGAAGTTCATTTCGTCAACGAGTCTTTTTTACGGTGCATGACTTGTATGATATTTTGCACGTTTCTGTGTGGCAAATGTGGCAAATTCACGCCCGCGAAGAACCTAACCTGCGTGGAAAAAGTGAATGTGCCGCGCAGAGGCATGGAAAAGTTTTGTATTATCATCCATCGAGGAAAAAAAATTATTCGATTTTCATCTGGCTCATGGGTAATAGCGGAATTTGAATAATAAAAAACTTTAAAAATGACTCATCACTTATCCTTGTGGTATTGTTGTATTTTTATTCGGAAACTACATGAAAAAACGAAGAAAATCTTTTTTTTTATTCATCAAAATCCGTTAATTAGTTCACAAGATATGATTTTTCAACCATTTCAGCTTTTACCATATGTCATAGACAAACTATTGATATTAAAGGAGCGAAAATTCCGAGAAGGTTTGTACTTATGTAGTACTTGAGAGTAAGCATACCCATTTAGTATTCTAAGGACCAAAAAAATTCACGGTGGCTAAGTTGATATGGAATGTTGACTGTAATTTTTTCATGATTTCGTGAAATGCTAAATAGGACTTCGTGTATTCCACGAAGTTTACTTATGAAATCGAGGAATATCTTAATATAATCGTAGCAGCTACATTACTGTCCTTTGATATTCGATAACTAATCGGAAGTAATAGAACGATTATTGAACTGATGTACTTGCTCATATATCGATAACTGTACACTTCGTAAATATCCATGTTTTATCTTACAGAATTCAATTGCAGAAGAGAACCATCAGTATGGAGATCTAATTCAAGAAAAATTCATCGATGCTTACAATAATTTGACGATAAAATCAGTAATGCTGTTAAAATGGGTAACAACAAATTGCCCACAAGCGACTTACCTTATGAAAACTGATGATGACATGTATATAAATGTTGACAACCTTGTCAAGGCCCTGAAATCAAGACCACAGAGTGTTGATACTCTCATTGGAGCATTGATCTGCAATGCACGTCCCATCTCAGATCCAAAAAATAAATGGTGATATGAATAGTTATTCATTATTATTTCAGTTTTGCTGTTACGATGGATTGTTTAATTGAAGGAAAATATCCTGAAATATCTTTGCCACAGGTACACTCCGAAATACATGTTCTCGGAGAAAATCTATCCCAACTATTTATCAGGCACTGGTTACGTAATGAGTCTGGATGTTGCTTCAAAATTGTATGAATCGGCACTCTCCACTCCTCTTCTTCACCTTGAAGATGTTTATATAACAGGACTATGTGCGAGAAATGCAAAATTGAGACCAGTCGACCATCCCGGCTTCAGTTATACCCAACGTAAATTGGATACTTGTATATTGAGAAGTGTTGTTACTGCTCACAGAGTTGATACGTCCACAATGCATACTATTTGGAATAAACTAAAAAATAGCAATGCTACGTGTCGAGAGAAGAAAGCCACTGTGGAGCATAGGCATGGCCGAAATTTTGGCTATTTTCTAGTTAAAAAAAGGGCTACAAGTAATCATTGTGTGTGAACGCAATCAATGAACCTAAAAAGTCTTCGGAATTTCAAAATTTCCACCAAGTTCTTGATGAAAGAAATAAATGGTCGTGTAAATAGTGACAATGTTGGAATCCAACATTTGTTTTTTGTTTTGTTTTTTTTTCATTGATAAAGAAAAGATCAGAGTGATCAAAAATAAGAGGATAAAATATTTTCTATTTAAAAGAATGGTATTTTTCATCTTACAATAGTATATAAATAATCAATTGTCAATTAGTTATTAAGTTTTCTGTGTAAAGTAACTAGAATGACCAGTGACTTCTGTGAAAAGGCATCTGTGATGGTCGGTGAAGATTCCATTATTTCTGCCAGTATTTTTTGCCTCGTGAGAATAAAAAAACCTACCGCGATAAGTAGGCATGAAAATCAGTGCAGTAAGTAGTTGAGAATAAATTGATCTGAATGCTAGAGGCCTCCCCCTGATTTAACTTAGAAGTATTTTTATCCGAAAACTAGTTTATATAGAGATTATTTTTTTTAGCTTATTATAAATCAATTATCAAATTGACGATTGATGATCACTTTGTATAATATAGATTGAACTCCAATGAACTCGTCAATGGTGCTGTTCAGAATTGGAGAATATAAAATGTAGAAATCTCAGTGTGGACAAATAGCTGGCGCTTCCATTCCAAGGCATGAAAAGTTTGTCCACCACATTTGCACCTCCAAATGCTCTACGTTTCAGTAGCAAAAATAGTGAAGAATCTCAATTTAGCTGCTAGGTGAATTTTTGAGGAGTGTCTTTGAATTGAAGTAAATATTTTTTAGTGGCGTTTTTGTAGTACTACTTTTTTTATCTCTCAGATTACGAGAGATAATCCTGGAAAATTCAGCCACGAGATAAGTCGACTGGTTTTTACCACTTCACTACTGATTTGTTTTAAAAGTAAATGGAGAAGTTTGAGAGGAAATGACAAATGACAATGTTGTGATGCATTTATTGGATTGTGTATATCTTTTGTATTATTAAAGAGCAATTAAATCTTTTGTATATAACAATCATCATTGTTTTTTAAACTTGTGGGTATGCGTTCAAAGGGCACTGAACAACGCAATAACTTTAAACTTTTTCACTGGATTCGATGGAATCATTTTATGCAAGATCATCGTTACTACTCATTCGATTCACATTTTCGTACGCTGAAGGAAAATATCTACAACGAGGTGAAAGAAGAAATTGGAACATTTTTCAAATAATTTATTCCAAAATGTGTATAAGAACTTGTGGATTAATTTTGTTACGTTGTCTTTTGACTGGGAAGAGTTGTGTAATGGAATACAATAAGTTGAAAGGTAGGCGGAAAAAATAGACCAGGAAAAAATAGCCCACACACCAAAACGTGCTAAAACCCACCCAGCTTAAAAATTTCTCTTGGTCTATTTTTTCGACATGATTACGATTCCGTTATCACCACGATTTGATATATTTGCCATACCATACTGTTGGATAGGAGTTTGGAGTAGGTATCACAAGGGTCACAAAAAAAAGGAATCGCAACCGTCATAAAAGTCACAAGGGTGACACTGCCTTGATTGATGGATACCTCATATGATTACAGAACTCGCCTTCGGCTCGTCCTGTAACCTCATATTCGCCAGAAAAGTTTCCCACGGCCTAGTGTCGAAATGTACTAATTTGGGTAGCACGTCTAAAAAACGGTCGTTAAAACAACTCCGCCCTATACGCCACGTGTTGTTTTGCAGGTTTTTTTGACGGAGTAGTTTTTAAATGGAATTTTTAGTCATGGACCCACTAATTTGTTTTAAGGTTATAAATATTATTATTGGATTCAAATGTGGAAATGTTAGTGCATGAATTGGTGTCTCAAGCATAAGAAGCTTTATGGAAATGTTCGTATCTTAAAAAATAAAGATTGAAATGCTCATATCCCAAAAACTAATTCAGAGGAAATTTCTTCTTCATTTTTCCCGTATTTCTGAGGAAAAATGTTACGGAAAACATATGTCAAATAGTGGCGCCAAAGAAATCGTAATCTTCCCGTCCATTTTTACGATCTTCTAATTTTGTTTGGAAATTGTGTACAATGTCATGAAACGTCAAGATATGTATTCAGAAAATGTGTGTTTATGTCAGTATGTGTGTGCCGATTTTTCGGAATTTTTTTATAAATCTTCACGAAAAAAGGAGTGAAGTAGAAGCTAAAAATCGGATATGTAGTGAAATAATTGGCATTATTTGGCAATATTCCTTATAATAATATCTATCAAATCAACTCATAGATTCAAGATTCAACAAGATTTATTAACATGGATAGATATTTACAAACAAGACAAGACAACAATATGGTACAAGTTTACACATAGAAGATTGAATAATATAGTATTAGCCCGGAGGCTACAATATATATATATATATATATATATATATATATAATGAGGGGTGAGAATAATATAGTATTAGCCCGGAGGCTACAATATATATATATATATATATATATATATATATATANATATATATATATATATATATATATATATATAATGAGGGGTGAGAAATGGGTTAACAATATGAGGGATGGGAATAGGAAGATGCTGGATAGGGATAATTTTTTTATATTAAAAAACCCTACTACGTCAAGTTATAATATTTCTACTTAAGATATTTATGGCGTGATCAAGGGGGGTCGAAAAAAAGTCAAGAAATTGATGGTTTTGCTTCCGAATGGGAGCTTTGTTATCGTTCACTTTTACGATCTTCTAAGTTTGTTGGGAAATTATGTCGAATGTCATGAAAGATCAAGATATGATGTTTTTAGAAAATATGTGTGTGTATGTCGGTGGGTGTGTGCGGATTTTTTTCAAATTTTTTATAAATCTTCAGGAAAAAAGAAGTAAAGTCGAAGCTAAAAATCGGAAATTTTGTGAAATAATTGGCCTTGTTTGGGAGCTCATCGGGGCGAAATTTCAGCTGAATCGGTCAAGTAGTTTTTGAAATAGGGCAATTTCTCGAAAATCTTTTTTGCTCAATGTCTCCTAAATTACTGGTCGGATTGAATTTTTTTTTCAAAATACTCGTCTCGTAGTTCTCTATCGAGGTCAATCAAAATATAGATACCTGCAGGTATCATACAACATTTTCGAGATATCCACGTTTTTCTAATTTTTTCATCTCAGAGCTGATTTGACGTTCTGCAATACACGTACAAGTTGGAAAAAGAATTCTCCATCTTTTGTGTACTAGTTAATACTATTATGTCAGTGTTTGATTCTGTGACAGATACAAATGTGTAGAGGATCATGTAGGATCCACCATGTAGGTTTCCTTCTTAAGCAGGACGAAATATACGGTTTTTTCCGGAACTGGGTAGGTCTGTTTAAAATATGTTGATAAATCAACTTCACGTTTTACTTTTAGAGAGTTAAGTGTGTGGAGGCTCACCCACTTCATAGATCGAATGATTTGAGGTTGAGATGTTTTCATGGCTTAGGATCTTCAAGGGCCAGATATTCTGAATATCAATTTTCTCATTTATAATCTTTACTTGTTCTAAATAGAATTGGTACCAATCCATTAGGAAGCTTACTACGAATGGAATTGGTAGAAATGAAAAAGAAAGAGTTATAACACATAAAGAAACGGTCAGATGGCTTCTGCCAAAAAGGCGTGGACCCTTGTTTGTTTGTTTTTGAAGCAATGTTCTGTTTATTGATTTTAGCTCATCTTCATGTGATTTTTCCTACTCACATGATATTCTTTCTGCCCTCCTTCAACACTTTTAGTTATTTACCTCGATCTTGGACGCCCTTAAACTATAGATAAGAATAGAATACTATGAATTACTTGATTCTCATATATAAAAATCAGTATATTATTATTTTTACAGATTTGAATCAAACGATAAAATTTGATTCGATCGTATGAAATAATAACCGCAAAAAAAATATTCGTTCACCAAAACTTAAAATGAATTTATTGAATTATGTACATCCGTCGTATCATTAAATCATTCGCACAACAAAATCTTTGAAAACTTTTTCTATTAATTTAATGCTTCTGCAACTTAATAAGCATCTCTCCTCCTAGGTTCAAGTTTTAGTTTTCATTTTTTTTTTCTTAATTTTTTCTGTGTTAGTGACCACAGTACTGGACGTCAAGTCGAGACTTTTCAGGGATTCAGACAACTTCTCTAATTTTATCTTCTGCAGACGAGCCATTTTCTTCCTTTTCCTCTTCTGTATCTTTTGATTCAATCTTTTAGCTTCTTTAGAAGTTTTCTCTGGAGGGAGTGTCAAATCATCTCCAGATACGAATCCGTCATCGTTACATCCAGGATCTTCGACCACTATACCGAAATCTCCAACCAAAGGGTGAGGAATATTATTGTCATCTGCCGTCTCTTCTTCTGGTGATATTTTCTTTTTACGTTTACGGTCGGGTTCCTCAGCTTCTCTTTCACATTTTTTATGTTTCTTTCTTCGTTTTTTCCCTTCAGGCATTCCAGAATCTTCAGATAAATCAAGAGAGATTAACATTTTATGCGTCAAATCTTCAAGTTTTCTCTTGTCTTTTAGCCTGGATTTCTTGGATATCAATTTAGGAGAATCTGATAAATCCTCACTTATCGAGTCTCTTGGAGATTCTTCAGCTTCCAGTGTGATAGCCAGATTCCCCTCATTATCTCGACCTAAAACTTCGTAATCCATTTTCTCATGTTTCCTCTTTTTTTTCCTTTTCACTTCAACTGTTACCCAATCGAAAGACGTTGATGGTTGGTTCTGTTTAGCAAGAAGTTCTTGTTCCTGTCTTTCAATTCTCGCGAGTTTTCCAGATAATTTTATTCCGTGCCTTGCACCTTTGTGGGCAGTTCGCCCTCCACAGGCTTTGAATAGTTCTTCATCTGTTAAAACTGAAAGCATTTCACTCTTTTCTGTCATGTGGATTTTATTACTCGAGTACTCTTCGTCCTCGGTGTTCTCCCCATCATGAAGGGTTGATGTTTTGATGAAATTTCCAAAATGGAGATTATTATTTTTCTTTATCATGCTGGAGGTGAGATTCCATTTACTCGTCGCTATTGTCACTGCATCTTCCTTATTTATTGTTAAATTTACTTTTGTTGAATCTGATTTCACTTCCAAATTGGCGGAGGCTTCGTTGTATACATGTTCCCACCAGTTGTATTCAGCACCGTCATGGCCAATTCCAGTTGTGCCGAACTTCAATTTCGGTTTGAGTGCATCAACTATACCATTCTCATTTTTACCAAGACCTTTGCCTGTAACCAAATTATTCATCATATTTTTTTCTTCTTTTTTTTTTGATTGACAAAACCATTTTTTTTTTCAAATAAGAAAATGGTAAACATAACCCCAAAATATGAGAAAATACGAAGGGATTCTTTATATTTGTGCATTAGTCGGGAATATCTTACCTTCCGTCCAGCCGTATTTTAACAACTGATTTTTAGCAAAACTCGACATTTTTTTCTAATTTGTTTATAGCTCTTTTAAAATTAATATTCACACACCATGCAAATACGATGAGGGACTGCTACTGCCGAGTTACCGGCACAGGCGGCTCGCCCAGCCGTCAGATTCGACCGTGGCGCCATCCCTCGATTGGGGTGATACTAGTTTTGGCTTGGGGTCGCCTGAACCCCGAGATCTGAGCCTCTACTTTAGTCTATCGTCTTTGGACGAAACGGTGCATACATACCAGCAGGGTTGGGCATATCTCGCAGATGGAAGTTTATGACGTGACATTGTCAAATACCTGTAATTTACCTCTGGGGCGTCAAAAATATCAAAAAGTGTCAGAAAACTCTTTACAAGGAAGCTAAGCTAAAAAGTTACAAGGGTCAAAACTGAGAGGCATATCGGCCGGAAATCGTTAAGATCAAACGATCACGAGGGTTATCCTCGCGAAGGTTAAACATCGCAAGGGTTATGCCTTCTTAGGGTCAAACAACGGAAGCAATCCTTCAATCTAGAGGGTGAAACTAATAAGAGGGTCAACGGGGGACGCCAGGCGGTACAATTACAAGGCTCCAACGGTCATGAAGTTTAAACAAAAAAAGCAAGTAAGGTTCACAAGGGTCAAACAAGTCACTAGGTCACGGCCTAGTTATCCTGATTGACCCTTATGATTTACCTACTTTGTGATTGTTTCTTAATCCTTTGTGATTTTCCTGCTTGTCTGCGTCTTAATTTTAACTCTTGTGATTTTTCAACTTACCTCTCCTGTAGGCAGAACAATGACAAGGGTGGAATGATCATGAATTAAGAAAAAATAATCTGAAACTATTCCGTTTGGTCTTTGTTGTTGCTTATGATCATTTGACGCTCGCAAGTTATGATTGTGACGTTTGACCCTCGCAAGTTATGATTGTCACGTTTGATCCTTGCGAGGTATGACCTTTGCGAGGATTGACCCTCGCGAGGCATAACCTCAGTGGGTATGATTTTTTCGAATTTGACCATTGTAACTCTGACAGGCGGTATTCTCGGTAAAAATCTCCCGGTTCCCCAAGGTGCTAATAGATGGCGCCACATAGGTTTTTGACAGGTCAAAAAGCCGACAACTCGCCCGGGTATTTTACCTACTTTATGACCGGTCAAAATCCATGTAATTTACCTAAGGTAATTTACTGGCCCAACCCTGCATACCAGAGATTATAGGGGAGATGAGCAGGGCCAATGTAAAGTGTTCAACAACAAAATTCGTAGCGGTGGCGCATGGACTACGATGGAGCGTACGGAACTGTTGGTATGGTAGGGCCCGAGCATAAATTTGTCGATAACCGGAAAGGGGTTCTCAATACGGTAGCTCCTCGCATTTTGTAATAATTGTCAGGAATGTAAAATCGAACATATTATAATCAATAGTATAATGAATGCAGAGTCTAATGATTTAAAAGTCTTTTCCTTTTTCTCGACATATTTATTATTGACATGTAGGTCAAAAAATTCATAGAAAATCCCAGCGCTGTCGCTGGAAAACTCTATAGTTTTCCAGTGATTCTATTGAATAATTGTGCAGATTTTGTTTTTTCTTACTATAGTAATGTTCGATTATATATATTTATTCCCCCCCTGAGTGAGAAAGGAATATGTATCGCGCTCGCTCCCACTCATTGTCGTCTCCGTCGCGTTGGCACGTGCCCGTCCTCCGCCAAACTTAACGAGTGCGAGTGAGAAAGAAAATGGAGAAGGAGGCGAGAGAAAACATTCTAACTCGTTTCAACGGTTGGAACGTTTTCGTTGTTCTCCAGCGATCTACACATAATGGGATGAAGGCCCGGTTGGATGGATTTTTGCCCGACATGTCCCTAGAAAATTCCCTGTGATGTCCTGTGTTATGTCCTACCGATGTTACTAGGAGGACAGTAGCGCCGTTGATTTTATTTCAGCGCCAAAACTTGAATCTGGATCCGTTAGCCGCTAAACCTCTGAAGAGGACTCCATCGAAGACGACTCGTTGATAATCAGGATAATTGGATTAGGGTTAATTCGTTGAAATAAATCCAGTACACAAGTGCTTAGGAGAGCACATCAAAACTTTATTCCACTACTTCAACTTTTCTTCAACTTCACCGTGATAACATTAACTTTAGAAAACTCTATATTAATAACTTTGAACTCAAGAAAAACTAATTTGAAGAGAGAAGCTGGAGGTTCGCTATATCGAACAGCCACGGTGGGACTGACTTAATCTTAAACTTATTTCTAAGGGTTGGGTCCAACAACCCCCACTTAACGAAAAGTTGCGCACGCAAGCTTTTAACTGAAGCCAAGGCAAAAGTCAAGGCGCA